TAAGAATTTTTTAACAGATGCTTAAGAGTGACGAAAAGAGAAAGAAGTGCAAACACAACGAAATTTTACATGTTCGGAAGGAAACTTTATATAAGTTAAATTATCGTAGGCATAGCGTGTAAAATCGCGTGAGACAAACAAATATGCGATATGTTGCGCAATCCTTTAATTAAACTGAGCATCATCTAATTAACGTAGAACATACAATTTACTCTTATCAGAGGATGATGTTCATTAAGAAAATTGTAGACAAGCTCGTTAATTATTTTTCGAACGCGTTCGATAAAAAGTTAAGGGCATTTATCGGTTCTATAAGATTTTCAATTCCATTTGAATTTCAACTTTTCGTTGTTTTCTGGATACGTATAACGTACGTATATTTTTTTCTATACGTTATTATTATCTTCTAATATATATTTTTTTGTTATCTTTATGTTTACATTTTAAAAAAAAAATTTGATAATAATAATAATTATAAGTAGATACAATTTTTCTTTATCGGTTATTCATGATAAAAAAATATCTTTTTACGACGTTTTCGTAAAGAAGACACGATGCATTAAAATTCGAAGCCTATTTCAAAAAAAAATATTTCTACAATATATCCCTTAGTTTCCAACCAACTGTTCTCCTAATCTTTACATTTTACATTTCGCTTCCGGTAATAACAAATTGTAATATAATATAAAGTACAATATATTTGCACCTAATTAATTACTAAATAAATATTACAAAAAAATACAACAGCATACCATTTCTATGATCATCGTATATTTATCACTGATCAAATTTTTAATATAAACGAAATCGAGGAATTGAAAGGGTTAAACCAATCTTCCTCAACCCTTATAAAATAACATTTTTTTTTTTTTTCTCTTTTCATTTTCACGATGAGACGAGAAAACAACGCCACCGATTTCGAAATCAAGTGGCAATCTAAAGCTCGGCATCGAAGAAAGCAATTAATTCACGATTATTCAAGATTGCAGGAAAAGCGAGATTGGCCCGACCGAAAGGTCACTTACGGAAACACTTACGGCGTGGATGTGCGAAATAAAACAGAATTACCGCTGGAAGGCGGCCAAATTGAATATGGATTTTTAATTGTTACGGCACAACACGACCGCGGCGTAGCAGTTTCAGAAATACGGTATGTAATGCGGTGTCGCGCGTCGATGCGACGACGCAGTCCCCGCTTTAATTAAATGACGATAAATCGAAAGAGATAGGGAAAGAGTTGACAGCGA